CTTTACCGGAATCTAAATGAGATAATGAAATAATGTTGGGATGCTGTTGCCCGCTGAAAGAAGAACAGTATAAAGACGAGATAAGAAGACGACACGATACTCCGCGACGAAGCGAGGAGCATGTTGCGCGAGGACAATGTTGCAGACGCTAGTCAAGTTCAACGGGCTTTCAGTTAAGGTTTTGGAGGCTTTTTGCTGAATGAATATGTCAGAAAATGCAGTGGGCGAAGTTCGGCCTCGAGCCGGTTGTTATTATCTCCTCGAGAAGACAATCATAAGAGATATGACGACAGTTTGGCTGAGATAGCTCATGATTTGAGTCTTGGGCAGCTCAACATTTGAAAGCTCTTGACGGGATGGGGCTTGGGATTTATGATTCGGGCGGCTCAACATCTGAAAAAATCTCAAGGGGGGCATGGCTTGTGGTTTGAGACTAGGGCAGCTCAACACCTGAAAAGGATTTGCAGGACGCAGTTTGAGATTTGGGCCGCCCAACAAATTTGACATCTCTAAGGGGGACACGGCTGGCAGTCTGAGATTGGGGCAGCTCGGCATGTGTTTGACAACTCTAAGGAGCACGGGTGCATGCGACTTGGAATCTAGAAAGTTCATTATCCGACAAGTCTTACGGGGACGATGCTTGCGATTTCAGATTTGGGCAGCTCAACGCCGGAAACACCTTAGGCGGCCTTCGGGGGATGGTGCTTGCAATTTGCAATTTGGGCAGCGCAACGACTGAAAAGAATAGGGGGGCAGCACTTGTGATTTGCAATTTGCGATCTGGGCAGTTCAACATCTGACAAATCTTAGGGGGACGATGCTTGAGATTTGCGATGAGCCATCTCATTGTCTGAACAAGTCCTACGGGGACAGTGCTTGCGATTTGCGATTTGGGCAGCCAACTTGTGACACATTGTAGAGGGACCGTGGGGGGACAGCACTTGCAATTTGCGATTTGGCCAGCTCATTGTCTGAAAACAACTTGGGGGGACAGTGCTTGCGATTTGCAGCTTAGGCGGCTCATTGTCTAGGGAAAACTTAGGGGGACAGTGCTTGCGATGTGAGATTTGGGCAGCTCAACTTCTGACAAATCTTAGGGGGGGGCCTTGCTTGCGTCCAGTTTGAATAGTTTTTGGGGGCCGCAGTTCCAACTATAGCCCCCCCCGGATACATTTCCAAGTTGCCCCCCTGTCCTTCTACGGGCTCCTCGGCAACCCCCCTGAAATACATGTGTCAGGCATGGGTCTTAACCCTCTCCTTCTTCTTCGCTGTCAGTCTGTCCGTTCACCCCGGCGAGGCCGCGAGTGCTAGCAATTCCTTCTCCCCACCGGCCAACAGAACAATATGTAACGGATACTCATCGGGGTCATGGACTGACTTTCTCCTTACTCCAGCGCTTGGTGGGACTTGCTTTTCCAGTTTCCCTTCCCCTCCCTGTTTCATGAAGTGTCATCTGGTAATGCGCTAGTGCAGGCTCAACTCCATGGATCACGTGCTCCAAGGCGGAAGCAATTGCATCCTGGATGCTAGACACTCCCTCCAACTAACTAAGTCCAGCGCAGCACAACCCTACAGTAGCATACCATGCCAACACCATCTTCCCACATGACGGTGCTGACATGTGTCCTATACCGGTGTTCCTCTATTAAATACACCCTCCCCTGTTAATGGGAAGATTTGTGTCCATGGAGGCAGCAGCTGCCAGCGAAACCATATCGAAAAAATGCACGTGCATTCAAAAGGTATTCGGGCCCCTCTCAAGCAGTAAAGTCACTAGCCACGTCAGTGAACATTACGCCGTGTCTGTGAGACTCTTATTTGGACCCCCAGCATCACCCGAAACCGCACAAGACCTGGCGAACCTATCACACGTACGCATTCAGAGTCTGAACTAGTAGCGTGTTGCACACGTTGCGAATACAATCAGATGCAAGGATCCATCAGGGATACAGATCCAGCTGCAACAGCGGGATCCATCCGGGCCAAGATATTGGACGCAGCGTCAAATTCCATCTCCTGTTCTTCCATGGACACTCTCTGACGTGATTGATTGCATCGTAGTTCATTACAGGGCTTGGTCCTGCAGTATGCCTGCCGAGGTTTCAAATTCCATTTCCGCTGCAATGCCAGCAGCATCGCTGGCCTGCTGAAAACTTGCAGGAGTCAAGAGCCCGTGCACATAGCTTGCCTGAACGCACCTCCAAGTGCCCAAAGATACAAGCTGCTTTGTCAAAGTCAAGCTCAGCCAAGATGAAGGCTGCACCTGAGCTCTCGCATCGGACATCACGGGACCTTTCCGATGCCCGTCTGCCCTATTTAGTCTCGTCGCTGTCATCATACTCCATGACTGATACAATGTCTGCCTTACACTGAGACAAGTTGACCAGGCATCATGCTAGCCACAAGGGAACTTTCATGTTAGCAGGGCTTGAGTCCCAGGCTGCGCAGGATGACTCCATTTCCGCCATGACGAAAGCAGCGGCATCCTGATTGCTGCAGCTGTGTGTAATCCCTTTCCCCTGATATGATACGACATCCGCTCCGCAGCCCGAATAATAATAATTATCTAGGGTACACGCACACGCCCTATCCCCCGCGCTGAATTTTCAATTTTCTACGAACTCTATGCTCCTTTACTTGAGGATTCCATCTATTTTCTTGTCACCATTAGCCCTATCACGATGATGATCACTCTTGTAGGGCCGCTGCATTATTCCTTATTGTCGGTAACATTTTGCAGTATTATTGCTTTACCACTGGCATTATTGTAAGTCTGGTTTGACAATCATTCTTACTATATTTCTGCTACTGCTACTATTATTTATACTGTCAACATTAATACTATTAATAGTAACACACCAAGACTCTCATCATAATTTTTTTGTTTTCCGGGACATCTGTAAGCGCATGTTTCGAAACAAGGCCCGGGTTGGGAGGGGGGAGGGTAGGCGGGTGAGGGTCGGCGAGAGTGCAGACTCTCAGCATGTTGGCCAGGAGCCTCCCTTTCCAGCTCCCAGTCCCCCCTCCCTGGCTCCTCGCCTTCCTCTGCCCGCAGAGTTTTGTAAATGTTTGGTGTTTCGAATCATGATTACTTTTGCAAAGCCACCATCTACAACAAAAAAGAGGGGTCACTTTCTCAAAAACGCGAATTTGTAACACGTCTCAGCAAAACTGCTAGGGATCACTTGCCACTTTTCCTTCTCAAAAACACGAAAATGCGACACGTCTCAACACATAACGCTTCACGCTTTAGGGTTTGGGTTTAGGGCTAGGGGGTTTAGGTTTATGACAGGGTTTGGGGCTTAGGGTCTAAGGTTTAGGCTTGCGGGTTCAGGGATTATAGGGGGGCCTTTCACGGTGAGGGCTTATGGTTGTTTTTTTTTTTGGACGCCCCTTTTTTGCCTGGAGTCCAGGCAAAGCCCCTTCAGGAGCGGGCAGGGTTGATGTCCCTCATCACTTCAAAGACAGAGCCATGAGGCGGGTGCTTTGGAACGCTTCCAGCCAAAACAGAGGACCCGAAATCCCTCACCATTCTGGCATCAGTAAGCGCCCCACTTTCCCAAAAAGAGTAGGTGCGCCTCCCTGTGGCACTGGACAGAAATTCGAGCACATTGAGCCCTTCCCCTGCAAGCTCAGTAGAGCTGGACGCACCATTCATCGCCCACCGACTCCGCATTGCCACTCTGCACAGCCAGAAGATGACCACCACCGCTCACCAGCTCCGTAGTGTCAGCCGGCGCACTCGCCTGGCCAACCTGCTAACCTTCCAAAGACTGCGCAAGTTGTTGTACCTGGAACCCCACCGTAACCGTCATGCCCAAGGCCAGGTTCAGGTCAAGCTCATGACGCCCCAGCATTTCTCCAGCGGCAGCGGTGTGACTTTGGAGGGTGGCCTTGTCCCTGACTGCGCCCTGGGACCTTCTGCCTTTCCCAGTTCGCTCGCCATCGACCAGTCTTCCCAAGCTTAGCACGTTCCGCAGCCTTCATTGCCTCGAACTCTTCAAATCTCGTTGCGTCCGCCTTTTGTTGGTCATCTAGATCCTCCTCTTAGTCTGCTAGCTGCTGAGCCTCCATCTCCCTTTGCGCACGGAGAGCCTCCTCAATCTCCTCCCTGTCTGCATAAAAAGGGATATCTCCGCCCTCACTGGCCACAGGTCTCATACCCGTATCTTCCAGTGGTGCATCACCAGCCCCGGTCACGGAGGGCAGCGTCTCCGCCGCCGCACAGAGATTTTGGGTCAGGATAGACTCTTCGCTTACCATAGCCGGTAGCAGACGATTCCACCAGTGCTTCACCCATGCCACGGTGATCTGGTCCTCGTGGATGTGGTCATCGGTAGTGTTCTGAGCACTGAGAGCCACTACCAGAACTTCCAATGCTCTGGCTCTTTATCCCATTGCAGCTCGGCCCATGCCCGTGCCATACCTGCCAACCAGATATCCACGGAGGATGTCAGCACAGAGACCCTGCTTGGTGGCATCCATCCCCATGAAGGCATCACTGAGCTTCTGGAGCCAGAAACCAAAGGTACTGATACCATCCTCGCAGCTAACCAGCGTGGCTGATCGCTGCATGAGGCTGTGGGCGTCGTCATCCCAAGCCTGCCAGTCCGCGTACGCCTGGTCATCCTCCCTGGCTCGGGCCTTCGCAGCGCGTCTTACCTCCGCTTGTCGATCCTGGAGAACTTGTGCTGCTTGGGCACTCACAACTCCTTGAAGTTGAATCAACGTAGCCATCATCACTCCAATCTCGTAGCTGTCGAGGTCCTGGACGGCCGCCTCCAGGTTCTCAATCATGTAGCGCGGCATGCCCACGGCGTTGTTGTCAGCGGGAACGGAAGATCTACGAAGGCTTGACCCTGTGTCAGTTCCTGTCCCGCAGTTGGATCTCATCGTTTATGACGCACACATCCGTGCTTGCCCTCGCCGTGCTGGGGATGGGCCGCCTAGTCCAGTCGTCCCCATTCCAGGTGACCTGTTCGGTCTCGCTTTGGCCTTGCCTCTGATTTTTGGGTCCCTGCGTGGTGATCTTGTCCTCGTCCTTTCCCTCTTCCGTTGATCCCTGTACCTTCTTGTCTCTCCGGAGCCACTTGTCCCTGGGATGAGCTTTCCAAGGTGCGGATGCCTGCGTGAGCTTGAAACTCCTTCTTGTGTTGGAGGTTGGCTGCCATCCTCTACCTGATCACCTGACTCCACATCCATTTCCTCTCAGTCTTGCCCACGACGGTGTTCGCGGTCCCGTATTAATTGTTGCCGTCGTTGACGGTCTTTAGCAGCCTTCCTGCATGCCTGGCGCACTCTGCGCCCGAAGGCCATCACCCATCTACCATTCGTGTTGGTATGGACATTCATCAGGCGTTGTAGCAGGGCCGATTTATCCGGAGTCAAGCCCGAGCAACACCATAAAGCAGCTCCTATTCAGTGTTTGATGTGGTTGGTGTCAAGTGTTTCAGCAACCAGAATTTGTCCCAGGGGCCCTCGCCAGAGTGGATCCATGAGATCCGACACCGATGCTCCCACCCAGAATTTAACCCCCATCACTTCCAGGTGCGAGGCACTTGTACCACTGGGTTTTCCCGGCATTCAACTCTAATTCCCATTCACGGAACACGACAGCAAGCTGGTTGACCCTCTCCTCCAGCGCCTTGCCCTGTGTATCCCAGAGGATGCTGTCGTCCATGCAGTCTCTTAAGCAGAGTCCTGGCATCGCTGAAGAGTCTTGCCTTCACCGGTACCTATTCGCAGCATCGCACGCCCAAAGTTTAGCTACAAGTGAGAATAGATAGGGACTCTCTTTTTTCCCTGCTTTATTCTTGAATTCATGGTGAATGTAGAGCAATTCCATGTGGGCTCATTGCTTCAGCATCCCATAAAGCTTCCTACGGCTGAGCTTGTCGAGAGCCTTGACAAGGTTCAATTTTGCAAGCTGCAGTCTAGTTTCCATTCCCTTTCAAACTCAAATGCCCTATGCACCACAAATAGGTCGTCAACCGCCTGGCGACCTGTTCCGGCGCATTCTGGTGCCTGGTTCGCCTATTGCTGGGATGCTTCGCGCAAGTAGAAGCGGCTGAGTAGCTTGCGTACTGCAGATCCTATAGATATCGGGCGTACGTGGGTTGCGACACTTTAGGGAGCACCACCATTATCACCGCACTCCAGTCCTGGGGGAGTCTCCGGTTGCCAGTATGGAGTTGAGCCGTGCCAAGAACTTCGGCCCCTCGGTAACATGATGAACCAACCACCTGAATCAAAGGCTCGCGAGGTATGCCGTCTGGACCCACCGACTTGCCTAGCTTGCCTCTCGCAGTGGCTTCTTCCAGCTCTCTCATTGTAAACGGCTCCACCTGTTGTTCTGTGTGCCCTTCTATGTTCCATTCCTCCAGGCCTGTTCCCTCGTAAATTTCTTGGAGGTGGCTGTGTATGGCTTCGTGAGGCTCCCCCGCTGTACTCTCTGCGAACCCCGGTTCCCAGGTCTGCTGAATCTGCTTTGTTGCTCGCAGGATTTTCCAGTCGCCATGTATCGCCTTGTCTAACCTTCCCTCTTCCCACTTCTCACGATCTTCCCTCCTTGTGTGCATTGCTTTCTTCCAGCTGCTTGCAGTGCCCGTCCTCTTTGCTTCCTTAAAGGCATCTTTTGTTGCTTGACTGTCCCCCTACACTGCTCCCCGGGTCTAGTCCTCGTGATGCCCTTGGCTAGCTAAGTGAGCATCTCCTGGTTGACCATCTCCATGGGCACGATCTCCGCTACCACCTGCCTGGGGCCAGTTTGAAGCCTCACTGGATTTTTCTTGGAACGCTGCAACATGACGATGAGGTCGTGATCTGTGCCAATGACATGGCAGCTGTCCTCGGCGACTTCTACAGCACTGGCCGCTCCTTTGGAAAAAGCCAAGTAATCAATGACTTTACCCTTGACCCCTTGCTTGCGTGGCCTTGATGTGGGAGGTGTCTCAGGTCCTCTCTCGGTGTCATAATATCCAACCCTCCGTGCTTGAATTTGTCAATCACACGCAAACTCTTACCATCTAAACCATGTGCAATCAGCTTTCCTGTGTTGTCTGCACACCACCCGCTTGCCGCGTTGCTGTCAGCTGCCAGAACAATCGGAAAAACATGATTCCAGAGCCTCTACCTTTCCTCATCGTCCCTATGTGAAAGGAGCCGCCGTCCCTCCAAGGCTTGCATTTTCCAACCCGCACCTTTCTAGCAAGTTCCTGGAGGCCTATTACCGTGTCCTTTGGGCACTTGTGGCTATGCGAAGCCTCCAGGTCCTGCCAGCACATGACCTGTTGAAGCACTGGAGGGACATTGGGAAGCTCCGTACCTCCCATATTTCATGATGCGGCGCACAAACTCAGGGAGAATTTCTTCGGTGTGTCAGCGCTGAGTAGCCTTGATCGCTCCCTGCACTTCCTTCACCGTTATCTTCAGCTCTCTAGCCAACTTGCCCATGTGGATCCATGCTTTTTCCGTGTGATTAGGGTCCACAAAGATGTCCTCAAAAGGTTCCTGAACTCCAAGGCCTGCAATTTTGGAGGATCCTAGCCAAGCGGAGGCCGTGGCATGCTCCAGGTCCAGCGCAGTGTGGCCCAAGTTGATTTTGAGCTCAATCAAGATGCGCTTATTTCATGAGGAGTGCTTCCCGCGGAGCCTCTCAACCGGCCCTTTCGAGCAGGCCACCTTGCTGAGGTCACCTGGTTGTTGGCAAAAAATGCCCCGATGATGAAGTGCATGCGACGTTTCAGTAGCCCAGCATCTTATATTGGCGAGGCCAAAAGTTGAGAAGGGCAACAGATCGCCCGGCTCCAGTAGTGAAGGGATTGTCACCAAGGCTTTGGTGAACTTGGAGAACATCGAGGGCTTTATTCAAGTCGCCTAAGATCATCCCTCAGGCCAACCCCCGAAGGTGAGGCTCTGTCGGGGGCCCGCTGTTGCGTCTCTTGCTGCTCAATCTTCTGAAGCCTCGCCTGAAGTTCCTCAAACTTGCCCTCCAAAGAGTCAACCTTGGACTCCACCTGATCGATCCTGCCGTGCAAGGTGCGAAACATTTCTGCTTGACGTCCCTCCATGCGATCCACCATAGCGTCCAACTGCTTCTGGCTCGTCTCCGGAATCCCATCAGCTTGCTCTCTCAGCAGTTCCTTCAGCGCGGACATCTCAAGGGAAACCACCTGGGTGGGCTTATGTTTCTTGGGTTCAACTTCTTCCAAGTCATCATGTGACCTGTCATGAAGAACCTTCCTGGGAGAAGCCATTGGACGCGCCGTACAGCTGCGAGTATCCCAAGTCCCCAACGTCACCCTTCTCCCCCTTCTTGTAGCCCTCCTCGTGCAGAAGCCTCCACAAGGTGGAACTCGGAGGCTGGGGCAAAGGCCTGTTGGCAGCAGCGGCCACCCTTTATGAGCAAACAGCTCAGCCAAGAAGCAAGCAACTTTCACGAGGTAGACGCAAAGTATCACGACCCTGTACGTGAACTTGCCGCAGGCTATGACCAGGGCACTCTACCCCCAAGGACGACTCTTGAGCTTTGAGCCTTGAGCCAACATTGCTTGAGCCTTAGGGCTGTTTAGGGCTCAGGGCTTATATAGGCTTTGGATGTAATGTCCAGGTCTGAGGTTCAACGACGTTTAGGTCTCAGGTCACGAATCTCCAGGGTTTAGGGTTAGGGCCATAGGTTCACGGTTCAGGGTTTGCGGTTCAGGGATTAGGGTTTAAAGTCACGGGGTGTAGGGTTCAGGCGATTTCTCTGTCTCAAAAACGCGAATTTGCGACACGTCTCAGCAAATAGCGCCTCATGCTTAAAGTTGAGGGTTCCAGGTTTAGGGTTTAGGGGTTTAGGATTTAGGGTAGGGCTTTAGGGTTTAGGGGGTTTAGGGTTTAGTCGGGGTCAGGTTTCAGGGTGTTGGGCTTCGGTTCAGGGATTGGATTCTGGTTGACGAGACCAAGGGCCATGGTTTCCACCATTCGGGGAGTGATTTATGAGGTTTGTCGGCTTTCAGGTGGAGCCCGTTTCTTCGGGAAATAAATATGTGATTTTTTCCCTGAAAACTTGCCCCTGGGCTGGCAGGTTTTCAGGGTCAATGTTCGCGGTTTTGGGGCTCGGGGTCTAAGACTTCAACGATTTAGCGTGAAGGTTTTGGGCTATAGGTGCTGCAAATAGGGCACGTTTTTCCGGGAAATAAATACATGAATATTTTACCTGAAAACTCGGCCGTGGGCAGGCATGTTTTCATGGCCAATGCAGGAATCACAAGTCCAAAAAGGACGACAGTTCTGCATTGCGCGACGGGAAAAAACGAGAAGTCACAAGCGATCCAAAAATTGAGAAGTCACAAGCGACCCCCGGGAGAAGTCACAAGCGACCCCTCT